TTTATTAGAATGTTTATTAAAAGACAATCTTTTTATAAATATACCATGAATGTGTGTGTGTGTGTGTGTGTGTGTCTGTGTGTGTGTGTGTGTGTGTGTGTGTGTGTAAAGACAGAATGCTTTCATAGACATTTCCATTTGTGGCCTCTAGGTGGAGCCGCTGCGCCGCGGCTGCAGGAGGGGGCGCTGTGAGAAGAGGCGGACAATGCTGGCGTAGCGGAGAGGAGACGGGGATGTGCAGAGAAGACAGCACTTTGTTTAAAGCAGGATGCACAAAGATTTTAATGGACGAATAGAAATGATGATGATGATGTTGATGATGATCAGTTTTTAATCAGTTTGCTGTTCTTATGGCGCGAATAATCGAACAATGTTACTTCAGCATCTATGATGAATAATGTTATAGATGCTGCATCATAATCAAGCTTTGTGTTATTATTACTGTAATAAATGTAATAATATTCATACATCCGGGTCTTAATTCACATATTCTGACCGGTTTATGGCACAATTTTATTTTGGATGCATTTATCCAAGTGTGACAAATGTAACGTTGATGTAGTTGAGTTCATTTTGTCTTCTGAGCTTCGCACCACAAACAGTCTGAGAAATAAAATACACTCGAAGTGTAAGTAAGGGACTTCAGTGCAAAGAATGAGCCACAATGTTTGTTTTTAGTTTCGTTATTTATTCATTTATTTATTTATTTACTCGAGTTCAACACAGATTTGATAGAAAATGTAAAATAATAACTGTTTTGATTCAGCTGAGGTAAATCATAATGCTGGGGGAGTTCTTAAACGGCATACTTTGTCCTTACCGGAAACCTTTGATCCTGAAACTCGTTTTTATTTTCATGAAAATAAAACCAAACAACGACAGGACTGTGCGTGAAGCTGCCGGGTCTCTCTCCCTGTTCTCCCAGCAGGTGTGAGCACTCTGATGGAGCTGGAGGCCCTGCCATGCCAACAGGGCTGTTGGCCCTTGCCACACCCACTTTCCCTCTTTGCCACTTTTAATGTATTTTTTGTGAAATAAACTTTAAAAAATGCGTGACTAGGCTAAACGCGAGGTTTGAGGTGAAATGCGCTCTTACGGTTGCACGGAAGCAGTCGTGGGTGCTGCAGTGCTAAGTGAAGGGGGCTGATGCTGGGATAGTGCAAAAGGAGGGTAAAATGAATAAAAGTGCATTTTTTTCGAGGTTAAAGTGTAAAATACTAATATATGAGATTAAAGTGGATTTAATAGAGTGTCCATGCTTAGTGATTTTACTGAAAATCGATTTGAGACAGTTGCCTCTGAATATTCAAATGGTAAGTAACGCGCAATCAAATCATTGTCAAATCATTGAGTTCTAGGGGTTTTAAATAGAGGGAATGGAGGGAGAAAATCTCAAACTAATATGTCCCCAGCTCTATTACAATCATTCTGTATGCTCTGGCTCTGCTGTAAGACATTTGTGTTGCTATTTTTGGAGACTTTTGCAGAAATTTCGTTCTTGGCCATTTTGCTGA